ATTTAATTATAAGGCATAAGGTCACAATAGATAGGAAAGTGTATAATTATGTGAGAACCAGAATAATGTCAAAGTGAAAACTAAAAATTGGAAACTGTAGGCCTAGTTCAGTGTGAGGCGAGAGGCATCGCCCTCAGTGACGCCCGCCTTCTCACAGAAACAGGTTAGTGAATTCCATCGTGCTTCATCAGCACTCAGAAACTTCTAGCAGTTTTTTACATCTTAAAACCTTGCCAAATGTTATAAATTGAAGTAATATAATTGTAATAATGCGTGGTGATAAAAGCCCCTCAGGCATTATACTCAGTGACGCCCGCCTTCTCATCGAAACAGGTGCGGTCCATAGCATCGGCCAAGCCACCACCACTGCTCCACTGTGAGGAACCCACCCGGTGTGGTGTGTTCTGCTTATGGCCATTATGCACCTCCACTGTGAATCTGTGGATACCCTACATATCACCACCCAGGATAGGAGAACATAATTGTGTGCTTGAGAAGTTTTGCAGTCGTCACGTGGAGCGACTTAAGAATACCAGGCGTGGAACCAGTACTGGTATGATTACCTGGGAAGTATCCCATTTACTTAGCAAGAGTAGTGTGTGAACGAGGTACCTGGTATGTGTACCTGAAGAATACCGAGGAGTTCCATACTTGTAGGTGTGGAGTGTACCTGAGATGTGGTGCTATACTCTAACATGTGGTGCTATACTCTAACATGTGGTGCAGTCTGATGTGTTGGGTGTTATGGTAAGAAGGGATGACCGAGGTAAGGAGGTCAATGGTTGTTATGAAGAATGAAGATGATAACAGTAGTTATTTGACGAACGATGTGTACTGATGTGAAGTGTAATGAACATAATAGTAGTTATTCTGATGAAGGCCAACTCTTTTTGTATTGTGACGGGATGCCATATGTTTTTATAAGGAATAAATTAGTTAAGTCATGATTGATGTTTCACCCTTCTTCCCACTCTCGATTTGGTCAATGAAAAACCCAACCCAATGCCTAGCTTGCTCTGCCAGCTACCTAAACAAGCTACATACTGTCCAGGGGGTCTGGTGGCAACAACCTTAAAATTAAGAGTAGATTTAAGTTATCCCCTTAGGATTAGTGACCCCAGAATGGGCAGTATACCAAGACAAAGAAGAGACGTTGGTGTTCGTCACCGTTAGTGATTACAAAGGAACATTTTTAGAAAAGTGCCATTTTCAGCCATGGAAGTTACTTTTATTTATAAATCATTGTTAAGGTTATGTTAGGTCAGGTCAGGTTTATGTTTTACTCGTGTTTTTTGTGTATTTTGTTTTTGCTTGGCCATAATTTTTGTCGGAAAACGCCCCACCCAAACCCCCGATAACTAAAAAACGGGCAATTTCCGACGGAAATGAAGGTCAAAACCAATCAAAACACACAAAAAATACACTAGAAAAACATAGTTTTGACTTTCTAACAGAGTTGTTTGCACTAATACAATTACCCTCTATGTACAGAGCTAAACAAACAATGCATTTGAAATACTCTGTAATATTCAATGCCATGATATCCTGGTCACGAGGGTTAGTTATACATACCCTTTGTGAACTCAACTCTGTAATGCTTTTGCGCTACCGCTCACAGGATAAGTATGGGGTGCACAATAAACTAGGCGCTGTAAGTGGCAAAATTAATTAATTACAAATCAACTTCAAGACCAAACCTGACCAACACTGGGGCAGGTTCAGATACATTCAGGAGCCAGTGCATGCCCAGTACTTAATAACAGTGCGGAACAGAGACGTGACCGATCGCCTAATGGCTAACGAGCCGATCAGTGGTGAAGAGAAAAAAAGTCAAAGTAAAAAAAGATACAGAATATATATGCAGCACCAGAGAAGGAAAGTTTAAAAGAAAATAAATAACATTTCACTTTTAACTACGTCTTTAAATAAGAAGTACAGCTTAAAATATATATATATATATTTTTTTTTACGGGGATTAGTCCACCCAGGCACAGGTCACTGACCCACATCGGGGCCTGGGGGCGAAAATGTAATAATAATAATAATAAAGAACCATAAAGAAATACAAAAATGAAAAAAAAAATCAAAAGTGAGAAACGCTATATGTATGTTGTGTTGTCGAAGTAAGAGAAACAATTGAGACCCTGCAATTGTGTGTAAATGAGGCAGAAAGTCAGATCAGCAACCTGAGACTTGGTCACAATTTTATAACTGTACGCACAGTTGTCTATACAGTGCAAACAGCCAGGTATATAGATACAGATAAACAAAGAGAGAGTAAGAAAAGAGGGGAAGAGAGAGAGAGGGGGAAGGGGGCCCTGAAAACTCGTTGCCAGAGGCTGACGAATTACCAATTCATTATACAGCAGAGATTGGTATCCCCGCATCCCCTGACCAACGCTCTTGTACATTATGCTTATAACCGCCAATCAGGCGATTAGAGGATTTATTGAAACTTGTAACGTTGGACTCAAACATTATAATTTGGTCAAACCTGTTGGATACAATTCCTTTTAGTATTTCACATAAAACATACATAGGCAATCACATAAATGTCTAATCCAATATATATTTACATAACAATCATAGCTATGTAATCAGTCTAATCTTAACACTTATAATGAGAACTTAAGTTTCCATATTATAATGTCGTCACAGTGATAAACGAAGCAAAGGACACAGTCTACCTGTGTACACAATAAGTACCAGTTAAACTTACGTGTTGAAAGTCTCAAGAGAAACCAGGTTAGGTGTTGCCTCTGTGGTCTGAAGAGCTACAGTGATACTCAACTGCCGCCTCACCAACCCTCTCTCGATGGGTGAGGGCTGCTGAGTCAGGTGATTATGCACAAACAAGCTCCCTTACTACCACCCAACACCTCACCTCCTCTAGGTCTCTCATCTTCAACCATCTCAATACTCTACATACTGTATACGGGCAGGCACACCCAATAAACATGACATGACTTACAGCCTAACATAACATTTGTTTATATGTCATCATAATTATGTACCGCTTGCGGTAACAATGCAGAAGACCCGACAGCCGCACCCTTATCCACTACCCCTTAAGATGTCCCCACACACAACGCTTCCGTGACGCCTGCTGGACCACCACTCCACGACCCCCTGACGGAGACACGATGATCCTCCCCATACTGGCCTGATACTATGTAAATAATATTGATAATGTGTTAAAGGAATATCCTTCCTTCCTTAGGCTTTAGTAAGCCCCTTTATAATATTTATACTGTATATACTTGTCACACTTGCCAGATGCTTCTGGTGTCATTGTACAGGGGTACCTAGTGACAGCACTAGGATTCCGCTTCCTCTATCAAGGAATAAACTATTGAAATTGAAAATTGAAATTATACAGCACAACAATACCAGGCCGCAGAGATCTGTTTGCTTGTTTTTTTCTATTATTTACCGAATCGTTACTGCAATCTGTTTTGTAAAGTTATGAAGAATGCATATATTCATGTGTAATAGTTAAAATATTGTGTCAGCCCCTGGTTCACTGTCCACCGGAAGTGGGTATCTCTACTGTATAATCTCTTGGGAATAGATGCACTGTACTCGCATAGTGCAAAGCAGGTTACCCCATCTGTGTCATTGATACTTTCTACTGGTCCTACCGGTCACTTTAATAGTCTTGTGTCCCCGCGCATTACCAGTCTTTCTGGGGAATTCAAGTTAAGTTTTTGTTTATTCAGTATTCATATTAGAGATTTCTTTGACCCATAATTATTTCACTTATTCTTCTCAGTACCGATTCAAAGGGATTCGTCTCCAATCTACAGTAAGAACAATAAAACTAAGCAGCATTATCACGGTAAAACCCACAACCGTATCTACTTTATTCCCAACATTAATTCACTGTTTCATGTCGATGTATTCCAGGTTTTATTATATTGTTCTCTTAATAATACAACACAAACACATTATTACAAATTGTTCACTATTGCTAGTTGTAAGAAAAGGGTTGATCAACATGCTTTTGAATTTTACTTGTGATTTTGGTACTGGTAGCCCAAGTAAATGACACTTGAATGTTTCTCTCATAGGCAGTTGGTTTAAAATGCGGAGTACATATCCAGGCATTAGCACTACTGGTGTCGTCTTTTCTCTTGTAGAGGTTAATCCACTTGTATCTTAGTTTTTCATCTGTAGAAAATGTATGAAAGTGTATATTTCCCTCTCGTTTGAACAAAGAAATACACCCAAATACTGCACTATTAGCGGGCATTATGTAACAGAGGACACCTGTTTTCACAGTAGTGGTTGCAGTCGATTTCTTTCCACCTGTTCACTCCAAGACGTCATGCGAGAGCTGGGTCGCATTTTGGGTCAGGTGTAGGCAGACCTCTTCTACAGACCTTGGATGTTCTTATTCTCTATTCTAAAGCCTTATCACATGTTTTAATTTTAAAATTAAATTTAATATACTGTATAGCCTTACAGGAGACAGGCAAGGGAGGATGGTAATTTGATGAATGCACACTTGAAAAGCGAATGCTTAGCGAATCTGATTATCGGACACATGCGCAGCGGGGGATGGCCCAATTCAGCGCCGCCGTTTCAGTGCCTGTGCTTTCCGTTCAACTCGGAAACAATCTGTCTTTCATTAACGTGGTATAGTACTGTATACTACACTAGATTTATATTATGTTGTATTCAACTTATTAATATTTGGTGTTATGAATGAGAGGAATGAGAGAGAGAGAGAGAAAGAGAGTGAGAGCGAGAGTGAGTGAGTGAGAGTGAGAGAGAGAGAGAGAGAAAGAGATATATAATATGGTTTTGCCACGTCTGTCTAGTTATTTTATGTTAGTATTAGGTTAGATTAGGTTAGGTTAGGTTAGGTTAGATTAGGTTAGGTTAGGTTAGTGTTAGCGCTGAAACTGTGGCGCTGAATCGTACCCGACCCTGCGCAGTGGGGGGAGCAAGTACAGAAACAGATACGCCGGAATTTACATCACACATCAGTTGATGGAGAGCCGCGCCACAGAGGGGAACTACAGCACGGAGAGCTGTTGTCAGCACTCAAGCGAACGCTGAAGGGTATGTAAGTAGATGTTTATTCAGTTAACTGTCGTGTAAGTTCACCTTGATTCAGCATGTGCATAGACAATAAAGACCCAAATGAGATACAACAGTACACCCGCACCAGACGGTAGTCAGGGAAACCTTGGAGACCCACCCTATTCCGTTGACGGGGCTCGTCGTCGTGTGTATAACCAGACTTAAAAATAAAAAAGGAGTCACGAAGGACACCGCACCACTGTACTCGACGGGGAGGTGAGGCGGTAAAATTAACTTATAATATTGGAATTAGTTACTTTAACCCCCACAACTCCCAGTCAAGTATTGTAGTGCAGTGTCCGTTGTGACTCAATTTTTTTAAAAGTCTGGTTGTAAACACAACTACCCCCGTCAACGGGGAGCGAACTATTGACCGTGACTGTACTGTACGTACGGAATATTGTTTGATTTGACCAATAAAGCCGTTATAAATTTATTCCCATTAGGATCTTTTGTGTTGTTGGGTGGGGAGGGGGTGACTAACCAGTAATCTGAAAAATCTGAATCTGAAATTATTAAGAAAATCTACAAAAGTAGACACACGGTAATGATATAATGTATGAGACTTTACATAGCCACACAGTTTACAAGGAATGCCATCAGTTCCTTCAATATATTGCCAATAATATTTGTATCCAAAGCGTAGTCCATCACAAATGTATCATGCTTAACCGAAGCCTTACCATAAGTAGAACTTGTAGAATTCAAAACTCGAACATAATGTTTCAAACTACTACTGCCGTTGTTCAAAATTTTCCGAATATTGTCCATTTCCCATTGCTGTCGGATTTTTACCATTCCAGATTTTATTCTTTTAATACCCAAAATACAATCGTATTCTACAATTTCTTTGCCACACCCTTGCTTAGCCAAATCATCAGCAACCTCGTTCATATAAATACCACAATGGGATGGAATCCACATAAAACTAACATCATATCCAAGTGATTTTATGTCATGAATACACTTCTTACATTTTAAAACAAAATCATCATCAAGAGGCACTTTAGAATTTAGAGCAAATAGAGCACTTTGACTGTCAACAAACTCAAAACTGTCTTTTTCCTCACATAAAGTTCAGCTGTGGTGCAGAACTTCTATCTCCAATTCTCTTGGATATTCTCTCTTGAACACTAATACCATATTAAAAAAATTCCCTAATAACAATGCCACATCCGGCCCGATTCCCATTAACTGAACCATCACAGTACATATGAATAACATTTTCCTTATGGTACTCAGATATTTTCTCAAGGAATATTTGCCGTAACTCAAAAGGATTACATTCTTCTTCTTTTTTTTTTAAACTCTAGCTTATCCATTCTTACAGATACACTCTCCATGAAACAAGGTTTCAAGTAAACTTTGTTTGGCAAAGCCACACAAATCTACAATATGATATTCACACAACATCTGACAAAGTTTTTTAGTATAAATATTCATCTTAAAATTACTAGTAATTGCATTAGTAAATTTATCAACAGCAGACTTCAGATACCCATCACCACGCCTAATAAGCCTTAGAGTAGAAATGACAGTTAACTCCCTAATTCTGTGTATTATGCTCGGGACATTTAGCTCCATCCTCATAATCTCTATTCTTGTTGTCATTGGACAACCAAGCACAATCATCATTCCTTCATTCTGAATAAGCTCTAATGGCCTAAGATCTTTCCTGAGTAAGAAGCTAGAACTGGAGCTGGATAATCAATGATTCTCCTGACTGTACTTAAGTACATTGATCTTAAAACTGGTATATCAACACCATTTGCTCTATTTGACAAAACTTTCAGAGGTTTTAGCCTCGCTGTACATATATTTTTTTACATAAGTAATTTGACCCTTAACATTGTTATTTATACCCACAAACATTCCCAGATATTTGTAACTGGATACTTTTTGCAATTTTATTCCATTTAGCCAAAATTATTTTCCATTTACTGCCCTTGACTGAAATTTTACTATTATTTTCACTAATGACCAGTCCCAAAGAGACACAAAGATACTGCAGCTGATCAATGACCCTAGACATATCTTCCTCATTCTTACATTGGATCAGAATGTCATCAGCATAAATGATTACTTGGGACTCGCCCTGGAATATGTAACTTGCTATTCTGTTCATAAGAATATTAAAAAGCATAGGGCTAAGAACGCCACCTTGTGGGGTACCCAACCCTAGACTTTTTTCTTCCGATTCATGACCTTGAAACCAGACACCCGCTTTTCTGTTAGTTAAGTAATCTGTAATTCACATCATTAATTTCCCTTTTATGCCTTTACTTACAAGACTTTCTAAGATCACTTCCTTATTTGCCTTATCAAAGGCACTTTTAAGGTCTACAAACAGTCTACAGTTGATATTAGCATTACTAAGACATTTAATCACACAATCTGTAGTGCTTTTACCCTTTAAAAATCCAAACAAATTACTAGACAAGAAACCATCAATTTTATACAATAATCTATTTATTACCATTCGCTCCATCATTTTAGATAGACGAGATGTTAAGGATATGGGTCTATAATCATTATCGCCCTTAGGCACAGGAACAATGAGTGCCATTTTCCATTTCACTGGCAGTCTTCCATTTTAATATGACAAATTAAAGAGATCTAGAATTGGGTTGTCCTCCATACTTATAAGATAATTGATAACATCATAGGTTAGACCATCCCTGCCAGGAGCACTGGACTTCCCTTTCTTTACAGCATTCAGAATTTCATCCTTAATAAAAGGAACACAGGTTTCCTCACTTACAGTACTTTGGATATTCACCAACCTTCGCCTCATAGATCTTGAATTCCTCAAGCAAATCTGAACATTACTCGGGAGACACTCATAATTAGATGCATACGGCCACTTATTCATTAGTTCATTATCTTTGGCGTTTGGATTGGGATGAACATTAAATTTCTTCTTGACTCCTCTTACCCTATTCACACCATCCCAAACCTGATTCAAAAATTTTGATTGAGCAATCTCTCACAAAAACCCCCACTCCAATACATACTTCTGGCTTTCTGATTTACCTCTGTTGTACACTCTGCCAGGATCTTTACTCCACTTACTATGACATTTCCTCAGTAATTTATTCCGCCCCTTTACAATCTTATCATTATAATACCTAGGCTTAGGTTTTGTGGTATTTCCATACTGTTTCCTTGGCTTATTCAAAATGGAATCAATCACTCCTAACAAATCATTATAAAATATGTTTTCATCTTTAATTCCAAGCTTTTTGTACTCTTTATACTGTTATTGTTTACCTTTTCCTATTGTTAACATAAAATATTTTGTTCAAATGAAGCTTCACTTTAATTGCAAAGTGATCACTCAAAAGCGTATCCACAATATCCAAATTTGCATGAACATCTAACATATTAAACAATATTGCATAATCAAGTCTACCCCCTTTAACATGTGTCGGCTCACCAGCTCCAAGGACCCTAGCATCTTCTATAGAGTCTAAGCTATTTTTCAGAACCATTCCATTGTGATTTTGAGAACCTCTACTGCCAAGATTGTTGTACCTAGCGTTCAAATCACCAATTAGTAAACAATCATCAGCAAAAATAATGTCCGGCAGATCATCAACTGTCAATGAATCAGCATGCACAGAAGCATTAATAATGAACAGTGTAGCATCTTGAAGCGTAATACAAACATACAAATACTCGGTACCGTTTATTTTTAGAGCGGAATGAAAAGATGCTGGAATATAATCTTTGATATAAGTAGTCAAACCTCTACAATTTACAGTCAAATCAGCTGGTATTTCAAAACTTTGATAACCTCTTAGTTGCAAAGATATTCCGTTTGTCCCAACCTCTTGCAAAGCTATGACATCAATACTACTAGAATGAACATATGCATGGAGATCCGTTAACCTTTTTTTCAAACTATTAACATTCCAGGAAATTAAGCTGACATTATGATCCATTAGAATAAATTTTCCCCCTCATTTTCTTAACAGAAATAAGAACATTCTTTTTGAAGTCGTCCCTTGGATTTTCCATATATTCCAAAACAGAGTCAAGAATGTTCGTCAGGTCACCAATCATTTCCTTGTTTACTACATTCTCTTTAGAAACCGAACCAACTCTATTTCCTAACTCACTATGATTACTATTTTGCTCTAGATTGCTATCTACAATATTTGATTCCATCTCTACTAATTTTTCATTTTCTTTTGAACTATCTTTATTAACAAGAGCAACATCACTATATGGCACAAGATTCACCAAGCATTTCTTGATACCCAATACTGCTTGTTTGAGCTCATCAATCTCCTTACGGAGTTATTGTCCCCGTTACCTATGTCCTGCTTTTCCCACACATTTACAGCACTTGGTGTCCCTACAACATCGCTCCTTACAGCGTCACCTTTATCCTCTTGATTAGTGGACTGAGCTCGTGATTGCAATTGAGGAACTTTCGGTTTTTAGGACACACCCACGAGCTGGTGTAATTTTCTCCTTTGCCTTAATTTTATCTCCACATACCTTAGAGTCATGCATTTTTCCACAGAATCAACATCTAAAATCATTATGGAATTTCCACGCCATGTGCCCCCACTTGCAACACTTATAGCATATTACTGGAGATTCGTTGTAGACAGCAACCCGTTTATATCCCATACATCTCACAAAGACCTTCTCTGGCGCTGAACCTTTGATTAGCGCAATTAGCTGAGGCTTAGGTACTAGTTCTCCATCAAATCAAATTACACGTCTCTTGGCCCCCAAAAAATCTATCGTCAGCCAACACATCCTCGGGGTCAAGGTAAACAGGATAATCAAAAAGAATGATCTTAGGACATTTCCCATCACTACATTCTCAAAACCTTCTGTAGTTAGATCTCTAACTGCTTCCTCATCCTTCACAGTAATATAAGGAATATGTTTACCTTCTTTAAAGAGCACTTGATACCCTTGATGGCGCTTAGCGAGTCTAACTGACCACTTTACCTTATCAT